TACAGATATATATATATATATATATATATATATATATATATATATGTAGTGTATATATATATATATATATATATTTATTATTATTATTATTTTCAATCGAAACAAATTCTACATAATATAGCTGAATCACGTCAATTTAAATGGTGGGCTAATATGTAACTTGGGACTAAAATTGTAATCATGATTGGTTTACGTGTCTACTCAACGTTTTGAAATCATCTGATCGTTAGGCCAATTATAAAAAAGGCCAGGTACGCGCTGAATACAATTTAGTAGTAAAAGTAGTAATAATTATAATAAGGTAAATACACAATTTGTGTGTTTGTCAAAATACCTTCCATTTAACTTTCCACTAGGGACATATATCGATAATTAATTTTAACACAATCAAAGTATTGCTATAATAAGTTGCAAACTCACTTATCAATCAGAAATGCTATTAATGCGAAAGCAAATGCTGCTGTTAATAAGGATACTGTTAACGTCTTCTTCCGACCTAGAAACAGCACTAAAATAACCATAACCGGCGCAGCTGAAATTTGAATAATACATGCAGATACGTTTATTATTTTAATTCATATTTAAAGATGCACTATCTTTAAAAAAAAATAAAGGAAAATACATCAAATATTTAAATAATATTTTGAATAGATCATTTAAGAGGGTCAAATTGATTATTAGCTTTCAACGAGAAACAGATAGAAAAAAGTAGTTATCACCGATTTACAGATATTTTACTTATTTTTAATTGATTACCAGCCAATTTAAGGATCTATTGAAATGAATACAGGAATTTTATCATTTAACTGTCCAAAAAATTGACGTGGGGAATTTTTTCTCATTCGAATGTTTAATTTGAATTTAATAACTTACTTAAATATATTAATTAAGAAATTCAAATGTGAATTAAAAATTTTCACTTTTTTACTTTATGACTGATACATCTTTAAAGTATATGAATTTTAACTATTGATTAAATGTTTGGCTTACTTATTGAATAGTTGATGGATTGATTAGTATTGAAAGTACATAAACTTTAATTCATTGATTAGATTGATTGATTGATTGATTGATTGATTGATTGATTGATTGATTGATATATTGGTTGGTTGGTTGGTTGTTGGTTGGTTGGTTGGTCGATCGGTCGGTTGGTCGGTCAGCTGATTAGGTGGGTGGTCGGTTTAATGAGTGGTGGGTGATTGATTGGTTGTTTGTTCGATAAATTGATTAATTGGTCGATGTATCGATTATTTGATTTGATTGGTTGGTTGATTCACATCACATCAACATAGGCCTAATTGTCCAGCATTCCCGCCAAAAAAAAGGTATGATTGTTAATTTGTTAGGTTGGTTGGTGGGATATGGTTGGCTGATTGACATGTGTGGTCGCTCTGTCAACTGATCAGGCTATGGAAGTATATTTCATTCATTCATAATCAATCCGTTAGTTTGATTACCAATCCCTAATATAGTGTGGTCTAAAAACAAAATGTTGGGTCATGCTAAGCCATACAAACTCTCTCCATGTACCAAGTACCTTTAAAAACCGTACTGGGAATTTTATTTCGGGACCCTGACATAGGCTCTAGTCGGCCCTTTGGTTCGGACCCCCTGTCAGGAGATTCGTGAAAATCGTGAGATTCGCTGAAAATCATGAACTTAACTTATTGGAAAATACCCATCAAATTACTGTCTATGTCAAAAATCATACCAATAAAATCGCCAAGCGTTGCAACAATTGTTTCTACATATTCTTCGTCGGTTGGTAAATAGGCATTACAATCAATTTCTACCGCTACTGCATCACATCGCGGATCGGGAGGAGGTTCGAATGTGTTGCTGTCTGATGAACCACTGGTGACTACAACAAGTGTTGATGAATTCCCTTCAACAGCGGTGCTGTTTTCAGATGGATATACGACGCTGACCGCTAGTAGAGGCGTTGTCGTTAACGCCATGCCATAGTATGAAAAATAACATGCGAACCTGAAAGAATACAATATCACTGTATAGTTAATTAACAAAAAATACTAAATGTTATTAATATATATTATTATTAGTAGTAGTTAGTAGTAGTAGCCTATCATTATCTTCAATATCATTGTCATCATAATCATCATTATCATCGTCACTTTCATTTTTTATCATAGTAATAATATTACTGTTACCAAATTATTGTCATTATCATCATTATCATCATCATCGTCATTATCATCATCGTCGTCGTCATCATCATCATCATCATCATCACAATTATCATCATCATCACCATCATCATCATTATCATTATCATTATCATTATCATTATCATTATCATCATTATTATTATTATTATTATTATTATTATTATTATTATCATCATCATCATCATTAACATCATCACCACCACCACCATTATTATTATTATTATTATTATTATTATTATTATTATTATTATTATTGTTATTATTGTTATTATTGTTATTATTATTATTATTGTTATTATTGTTATTATTGTTATTATTGTTATTATTATTGTTATTATTGTTGTTATTATTATTATTTATTATTATTATTAGTATTATTACAACAACATTATGGAAGATTATGGTCATTGATAGGATTAAAATTACTGTAGATAACAATTTCCCGGTACTGGTTTTGGAAGATGTAAGGAACACTTACCAAGCGAGATAGAGGATTATTGTTTGTTTAAAAAATCCCTTCCGTACAAGTTGAAAACTGGATGACCGGTCGCTCTTTGGAAAGCAAGTCAATATTATTATTGGTAATGATACGGTACCACGTTGTGCACACTTAGTGAGATTTTTTTTAATTAATTTTACTGTTCTAAAAAAAACGTATTAATGAAAAAGTTCATCAGAACACAAACAAAATATTGAAGCTATAAACTACAGATATATAAATGTATATTGAATATGTACTGTATGTTATAGTATGTTATTAAATAGGCACACATAAAAAATGGTAGAAACCGTGCTCAACAATTAAGATCCACTCTGAATGAGAAAGTACCCAATGTTCCTTTATAATATAGACCATTTTCACGAAATTGGATTAAATCAACGATAAAAATAAATTACTAACGAGAACAAATATTTAAAAAATGAAAAAACACAAAGTGTTTATTTTAAAAATAAGTCCAAGTCTTAAAAAGCTATTTCAATGTTTACATATACATTATATAATTACAGTAATTAGCAAGATCGTATCTCTTGTCTGCTGCTATAGCAAAGGTCTAGCGGTGCTCAGTATTCGCAGCGCCGCGGTGCTCCATTTGTACCAGCCGCTGCTCAGTCTAGGCCCATAGAAGTCCCCAGTGAGTTGTGAGACTTTGGCGGCGCTGTTTCAAAATAGATCCATATAAAATAGTCTATAGTATGATTTCTGTAATGTAGTTTCGTATTATTACGAATACTTTTTTTTATGAACTTAGGCCTAACGGTGTAGGGATGTGTTGGTTTCTTATTAAATTGTATTCATTTTTAAGCATTTGCAGCTTTGATATTTAAACCTTCGAAAAGATGCTACATTTAACGTTTTGTAGGCCTACTGCCTTTGCATATCATTGATCTATAACAACAAAGATTAAATGTAGCTTTTGTTATTTGTTTATGTTTCTAATCTACCTTGCAATATATAAAAACACATAATTGTTTGTGCCATTTCACAATGTCTATATGTTTTACATATTCCCTGGTAATGATTATTTTGTGTGATATCAAATTTGAGTAAACACAACCACTCATCAATGTAGCTATGAATTTGTTTTAACAGTAATGCAGACTTAGCCCACTTTTACGAAACTAAATACTGACCACGTAACTAAATAAGGGGTCAGGCATATGCACGGGACCTAATATCATGATTTGGAAGTGTGTGAAGTAGCAACAACGTTTCCAATCAGGGTATCCTAGTTCGAATCTTATGCTGGTCGCAAGTCTTTTATTCTTGGGCATGACAATTTTTTGTTTGTCTTTTTTTACTATGTGGTATAAGCTTTGTATTTCATTGGAATTTTATATGTATTTTTATATGTATTTAATTTTATTTGTATTTATATGTATTTTTTTTTATTGAATTTTATATGTATTTTTCATCATTTTAATGTTACATTTGACTTAATAAATCAAATCAAAATAAACGGAAAAGCTTGCCTAGTATGCCAATAATTAAATATGACAACTATTAACGGCTCATTTTAAAGCATCCCGTTCCTAAATATTATATAAGATATTTACCGTACCAATTTTTTTTTTAAATTAAATAATTATACTCACCTCAGACGTATCATACGTTTGTAAGAGGTCCCCTGGCGGAAGGTCTACTTTATTACTATACGCTAAGTCTTCTAATACCTCGACAGATGCCTGCATACGCCCAACTAATGCTAAATATCGCGGTGATTCTGGTAGAAACTTGAACAAAATTCAAAAATATCACATGACATATGTATTATACAAGGGAATATGGTAACGACACCAATGCATAGCCTTATATAGCCCTATGTCTGTCTCTTATACACATCTAGATGTGTATAAGAGACAGAGACCAATACATTATATACATATATATTTATCTTTGAATGTTATCTCGACATGGTCAAGAAATAGACAATGAAAATAGTATAGCTCATCACGTAAATTATACTAATTGTTGCATTGTGACTTACAAAGGTTAGCACAAGGCATACAACGCCAGGCAATGCAGCATATAGCGATTGGTATCGCCACCCCTGTGCCGGTACAGCGAACATGCCAGTTACGGCTACAAGCACACTACCAGTACCATAGGAAAGCTGGGGTAAAAAAACAAACATAAATATTTTTGCGGGCTTTTTAACATATTCATTCATGGTCACGCGCGTACATCATATTGTAAATAATTATATCAATGCGTATCAGTTGATTAACCCATCAATCCAAACAGTCACTCAAATACTTAATGGATAATTAGCCACGTCATCACTCAATCAGTCAGTCAATCAGATGTTATTATTGTAATCGTTTTCGTTATCATCATCACCGCTGACATACATATGATATTTTATTTTCATCCCCAGTGACCGTCACTACCGTCCTATCCCCGTTATCATCAACGTCATCATACTGAAGGACATGCCTAATGTATTTTACGTGTAGATAATTATACTCCCTGACGTTTATGATAATATACGTCTTGCATGAACTTATCTTTAGTCAATATCTATAGAGAATTTTTATCGTTGCTTTTGTAACTGGTAAATCGTAACTTTCGGCATTAACTTTGACGACACGGTTCAAGGAGATATCGCTTGAGAAACATAGGCCAAAACTAATATGAGTCCTTATTGCGAAACATGCTTGTTCGTACAAAGAATTAATTGAAAGGGACTAAATGGGTTGGGCGGTTGTTGACCGAAGTAGTGGGCAGTGACGTAACAGCTATGAGCTCTCATTTGTTAAAGCCAAGGGCCCCGGAGCCTCAAGAGGTCCCACCAAATTCAAATTATTTTTTTACAAACTTATACTGAGGAGAATTATGTGTGCGGAGTTAGGTATGCTTTCACGATCATTAACTTAGAATTCGAATGGGTATATATACAATATGAGTTTAATATAATGATAATATAGGCCTATTTATTTTCTCAAATACAGAAGGACAAAGCCCAGGATTAACAAGGTTTCGACACAAAGTGTGGAAACCCAAAATATGAAAGAAAAATAACAAGGACAGTAGCATTCGATCAATCAGACACAGCATCGACAACCCGCAATAGTAGGTCTATGGGTTAATTTAACTAAGTTTAGTAAATATTCTAAATTATCTACTTGTTATATTATTTATTATTTATTAGTTTGCTTACCACTTGAGCGAGGACGAACCATACTCGAATCTTGGATGGTACCATCTCACCTAAATATAATATGTATACACTAAGTACCCCAATAAGACCAATACCCGCCAGAAAACGTAGAAATACAGCCCAGATAAATGAGGGCGCAAAAGCGAAAATAACGCCATAGTACAGCGTCCATGTCGTGATAAAGAGCATGCCCTGTAACAACAACAAAGAAAATAGTGAAAACCAAAAGCAATTCTTTGGAAAGATTTCCATGTCTAGCATTTAAAGCCGGGCCCCGGAGGGGAAAAATGATATGTTATCGGTATACAACTGATTTTTCTAAGACACGAAAAGGGTGTTTGATGACGAAAAAACTCGGGAACGGTTAATGAGATACAATATTTGGAATATTTAAAAACAGGGCGCCTCTCACAATAAACGTGAACTTTTCAATCAGGGGGCACCACATTTTCAGAATATGTAAGTGGGGCGCGCTGTTATAACAGCGATGGAATAACGAAGGGAACGCAGGCCCTGTTGATACATTTTGTATTTGCATTCTTTTTTTCTTATTTTAATACATGGATGGCATTAATATTGGTATGTATTGAAATTAAATTGACAAAGGAGGAGGGTGAACACTCCCTCCCCCACTCATTGGATCCGCTCCGGAACCATCATTCAGCATCTCGTTTGTTGGCAATATGTACAGCCAATGATTATAATTCCTTGTGATGTCCATGGGAGGAGCTTTTGTGTGGTTATAAGACAAAACCTGTTTGAGCTGAAGTATTTATAGGATGTGGGCCCTGAGTGGTGAATATCATCACGAACTTTGTTTTTGATGAATAAAAAGGTTAATAGGGGGGTTTTCCCGGCTTATATGTGGAAACCCCTCATGAAGCTGAAGCATTTTTAGCATAAAGCTAGGCCCGAAGTAGTTATTCACTTTGTGTTTGATGCAAAAAAGGTTCTAGAGAGGTTTGTCCGGCTTACATATTGATTACTTGTTTACCTCAACCCAGTCACACCCCCTCCCCATTGACAATGTTTTAAGCAAAACATTACGCTGAAGAATTTAGAAATCCCCTTATAT